GTCACTTTTATTAACAATACTAGATAGATAAAATGTGAACATGAGTTAAATTATAACCAGATCTTCAATGTAGTAAAATCTCAGTTTAATGAGCCATTTAAGGAAAGGGATTCTGTCACTATTATGTCTTTTTCGTAATGTCATGTTCATTGCGAGACAAATGATATAAGTGGCATCATTGGCACCGTTGTGCATAACACTGCAACTGGTGTAATTTTACAGTGTGAATCACTGCATCGGGAGGCAGAGGAAATAGCATCAATTATCTGCATTATTTGCAATGCAGGCTGACTTTGGTTTGTTAAATGCTGGTGCTGCAATTCTTTGAAACCCTTTGCCTCCAAAGTCTGCTAAAATTAAGTCTGCTAAACTGAGATTTTACTGCATCTGTCAAGGGCGCTGAGCATCGCCTCCCAATAGTCCAGTTGTGAGTGTTTCGTGGATGCAACATCACCTTTGCTGATGACTTCGGCTAGAGTTTGTGCAATAGTGCCATGATGGCCGATGCTGTGCTTTGCCCAAAGACGAAAGCTCCACAAAGGACAGTGATGATCCCCCAGGTAATTAGGCAGGACCTGCGAGTAAGTGGGAAAAGAATCCGTGCTATGCCTATCTTCTATAAAACCCAGATGAAGATCCAGGTTTTATAGAAATACCCGAATCTTCATTTAAAAAAAATATATATTTCTACCCTATTAAAATTGGTTGCTACTTGGCCAAGTCCCTTTGGCAAAATGGGGCAATAAGCCTCTCTTGTTGTCAAGTCTGCTAACATTGGATGTTATTGCTTGACATATGTGAAGAAGCAAACATATCTTATTTAGCCTACATATTGCTTCAAGAGCAAGAGCAGGCATTGCGGGCCATATGAGGGGGGAGGAATGCCTGTGAATAACAACATTATCTTAGCATAGCACAGCCAAGGTCAACGCAACAGCAGTCTGTAATAACAGAGATGAGACGGGAGGAAGATTCACACCTCTGTTTAATTGGAGCATATGATTGATGACTGTGAAAGGAGGGAGGGAGTTGTGCTTGTCACGAGAGCTAGGATGGGGGGGTGTTTCAGTCTTTGGCTTTCCTTTGTTCGTGCCAGATTATATAACCCATTAAAGGATTCTTTAAGGTAATTAAGCCTCAAAGTTCTTTGAAAAGTTATTTCTTTCGGAACCATGTCACTGTCTGTTCCTATTGTCACCAAAGTTGGTTGAGGGACTGGGGGTGCTAAACATACTTGGTTCTTGGCCTGAAGGGTTCCGTCTCCATTGCAAACACCAAACATAGCCCTGAAATAAAATAGGAAGCATTCAACATAAACAATTCCTTAAAGATCTGTGGCGGCGCAGTGGCTAGAATGCAGTATTGCAGGCTAATTCTGCCCACTGCCAGCAGTTCGATCCCGACCGGCTCAAGATTGATTCAGCCTTCCATCCTTCCGAAGGCAGTCAAATTGCTAGGAGAGGAAAGACACGTTGACCTACCTGGAAAGATGAAGATGAAGAAAGCCCCAATGCCACCAATGACGCTGACCACCTCGCTGATGTCAGGCACACACAGGGCAATGATGAGGGTGATCACTACCCAGGCGGTGGTCAGCAGAATTCGTATGCACTTCTCACTGTTCTCCATCTGGATACAGCCCTGCTTGGAGCCGAGGCAAAAATCTTGGAGGACGGACCTAAACGGTTACATTGGGGCGTTTATCGAATGACTCAAGAATCTGCCCACACCTTAAACATTAATCCATTTATCCCTTTAGATCCGGGGTGTTGAGACGTGGCCATTTTAAGACCTGGGGACTTCAATTCCCAGAATTCTGGGAGTTGAAGTCCACAAGTTAAAGTCACTAATATGTTGCTGATAAAATATTAAGTATTTGTGACTATGAAACAGACCAACACCCCTGAAAAGCTTAGGAATTATTTTTGCTTCTCACCTTCCTAGAAAAAGGACAATGGGGTAGATGGTGATAATGGAGATGCCAAATAACAGCCGAGCTACGATAACCACTACATCATTTCCAGGGTAGGACATTAGGATGTCAGCAGCGACGTCAGCACCAAATGTTAAGTAGCCATACAAACCTTGCGGGGAAATAGACCATTAGGTTATAACTAGACAATCTGACCCGATGGGTCATCATTACAGAGAGATTTCCAGTGCAAATAAGACGGTGGCCTGCTGCCCGTTTATATATAATAGCTTACCCTCCAGTTTGGGGAGGGGGAATAGAATGGAATGGAATAGAATAGAAATAATAGAATAGAATAGAATAGAATAGAATAGAATAGAATAGAATAGAATAGAATAGAATAGAAGCTGGAAGGGACCTTGGAGGTCTTCTAGTCCAGCACTGATGATGTTACGTAGCTTGGGTAATGAAATGTCTGCAAGAAAACTACTAAGTTCAGAAAGCGGCAAGAACTCCACAGTCCTCTCTTCCTCTTCCTCCTCCTCCTCCTCCTCCCTTCTAGCACTGATAGTAATAGTAATGAAACATCTGCAAGGAAACAACCAAGCTCAGAGAGCATCAAGGACTCCACATTATTCCTCCTCCTCCCTTCTAGCACTGATAGTAATGGTAATGAAACATCTGCAAGGAAACAAGTAAGCTCAGAGAGCATCAAGGACCCCTCATTTCAACCCTGAGCTGCAAATGTTCTCCTTTATTAGCACCTTCTGAGGGTGTGAAAATTCTCTTCTGATGGAGAAGGAAGATACCTGTCATGGAGTAGATCAACAAGCAGAAGAGCATGGACATCACAGACACCACCACCCAGTGGGACAGCCTCTTATCGCTCAGGCTGCAGTAGATGGCCACACAGGCTTCATGACACTGGAAGACAAAGAGGTCTTGAATATACAACACAACACACAGTGCAGTGCTTGCCTAGTGCTTGCTTGGACATCTTCTTCGCTTCACATCCATAAAGCTGCAGATATACATTCCTACAGCCAAAGTACCATCCCTGCCACTATGGGCAATCCAGAAAGTCATTGTTATTGTGAGGAGTTAGTGACATATTTTGATTTCTCCTTCATATTAAGAAAAATCTAGAAGTTTACAGTTCGTTCTGAAATCTAGCCTGCTCATTTTTCAGTCTTGCTTGCTGAACAAAAGACAAGGGGAGGGAATCTTTATGTAGCTTCAAAGCTGTGAAAGTCTCAGATTTTTTTTTATTCATATCCTAGACGGAGACTCATATGCCAGCAAGTCAAGGCCAGGTCTTGCAGTCTTTTGACTGTAACAAGGCCATGATATCATAGTGCCAGATTTTCATAAAAATGGGGAGGTTTTGATTAAGAGGGAGCTTCTGCCACAGAACACTACGTGCTGCTGAAAAATTGGCCACTTTGCTGGGGGTATTTTTTACGGTCATTATTAAGCAGCTCCTGGCAGCCTGTAAGAAATCTGGGTGATAGCTTGCTTCATAAGTATGCTTTGTATGTTAGGCTTTTCAATCTGTTTCCCACGAGCTCGGAGAACGAAGCTTCACCCTCATCCTACACCCGAATTACAGATATTTGCCACTATTGCAAAGTTCTCAGTTTCTTGATTTTGATGTAAACAAGGAACGGGGAATCAATGACTGTTTTTCTCCTGATGGTAAAAGGGCGACAGCTACGCCCAGGTTATTGCATCCTCAGAAATACATATGAATTCAAGTATCCTTTTGCAACAAGGAGGGACAAAGTCAGCTTCCATAACTCCTTCGCCCCTTAAGAAAAGAAGGGAAAAATATTCACTTTATTACCTGAAACCCAAAACAGATGGTCGGGACAACGCTGAACATGGAGGCCCAAGAACTGTGTGATGGAAAACACAAAACACGGACATGCATATGAAGGTGCCAGACATTACTCTACATGGAAATGGCCAGACAGTCACAATGTATTTGCTGTCTAGGTAGGAAAATCTCCTGAAGGGTTTTTAAAGAATCCATCGCCACCCCATTGTATATTGGCTCCTTCCTTAGAGCTATCTAGTTTTAATGTTAATATTTATCATTTTAATGTTTGCATTGCTGTTTTTGTCTTGCAAGCTGCTTAATGTCACTTGATGGTGAGATGGGCAGCATAGACATTTAATAAAAATAGAAGTAAATAAAAGAACGTCCATCTTTGCCACCCTTCCCGTATTCTATTCTATTCTATTCTATTCTATTCTATTCTATTCTATTCTATTCTACTCTACTCTACTCTGCTCTAATTCCATATTCTATTCTATTCTATTCTATTCTATTCTATTCTATTCTATTCTATTCTACTCTCCTCTGCTCTAATTCCATATTCTATTCTATTCTATTCTATTCCATTCCATTCCATTCCATTCTACTCTAATTCCATATTCTATTCTATTCTATTCTATTCTATTCTATTCTATTCTATTCTATTCTATTCTATTCTATTCTATTCCATTCCATTCTACTGTACTCTAATTCCATATTCTATTCTATTCTATTCTATTCTATTCTATTCTATTCTATTCTATTCTATTCTACTCTCCTCTAATTCCATATTCTATTCTATTCTATTCTATTCTATTCTATTCTATTCTATTCTATTCTATTCCATTCCATTCTACTCTACGCTAATTCCATATTCTATTCTATTCTATTCTATTCTATTCTATTCTATTCTATTCTATTCTATTCTATTCTACTCTAATTCCATATTCTATTCTATTCTATTCTATTCTATTCTATTCTATTCTATTCTATTCTATATTGGTCAGGCAGATTTTATTTAGAAGAACAGAAAAGCAGTGGCTGGTGATGAGGGTATAAATCTGTTTTCCTTGACATACCATTCACTCTATATCCATACTTACTTAGCAGAATGGGGATGCTCCTGCTTAACAGCGTGATCTGTTTTGAGGTAATACTTCAGCACAATGACCACCATCAGGTAACAGGCAGCTAAAGTGCCAAGGATACTGGAAAAGATGCACAGAAAGAGCAAAATTGGACAAAAGGTGCAAAATATTCTGCAGCTAGTCCTCAAGAGAATCAACCTAGAACTAAGGACAAATTTCCTGTCAATGAGAACCATTCATCAATGGAACAGAAGTTGCCTCCAGAAGTTGTGGATGCTCCAACACTGGAGGTTTTTAAGAAGAGACTGGACAGCCATTTGTCTGGGATGATAAAGGGTCTCTTGCTTGAGCAGGGGGTTGGACTAGAAGACCTCCGAGGTCCCTTCCAACTCTGTTATTTTATTATATGTTATATGACTATAATGGAGCCTGCCCATTAAGGTCGTAGGTTTGACAATCGTAAAACACTCATGTCACCAATCCAATTATATTATCTTTTTTGCAGCAGTCATTAAGTCAGGGGTCTCAAAACATGTCCACTTTAAGTCTTGTGGACTTCAACTCCCAGAATTCCCCAGCCAGCCATGCTGGCTGGGGAATTCTAGGAATTGAAGTCCACAAGTCTTAAAGTGGACAAGTTTGAGGACCCCTGGACTAGAAGATCTTTAAGGTGCCTTCCAACCCTGTCATTCTACATTCTGTGTTCTTGTTTTGCATCTTGCTCTGTCCCACCAGGGTAAAACCTATATTCTGTTTCACTTCCTCTCCAAACATATCCAGGATATAAATCAGATCCAAGTCGGGGTGAGACTTAATCTCCGGCACACCCAGTTCCAAAACTGGACCCTCTGAACTCTTTCTTACCTTGTATATTTTTGGAAGCCAATTTGTCTTGGGATGGAGAGGGGGAAAATAACCAGGAGGCACAAGGTAGACAAGGTGAAGCGCTGGTCAATAAACCAGGGCTGGTGAAAATGGTCTCCATTCAGAGTTTCATTGAGGGAGGAAGAATCACATACTGGAAGAGAGTTGGAAAAAGCTCAGTGTTAGAAGAAGGCAGGAATGTATCCGAAGGCTTGTGAATCTGAACAAAGGTATCCTTTTC